GATCCCAAATTGGCCGATCCCAAAGGGATCACAGCAGTTCCAGGGAAAATGCAGCCTCCCAATGGAACAAACCCTCATTTTTTCACGGCTGAGCTCYGGGGTCAGTGCAGCTTCTAAAGCATCTCCCCCCGTGTCTGACAGGAAGCCGCCTTTGTTYTTCTCCTTCCTCTTCCCTGTTGGGAACAAAAGCGCCTTTTTTTGTCTTGCCAACTGCCCCAAGACAGAAAACGGGGCACTGGAAGGAGCTGCTCCGTGTCCCCWTCAGCTCCTGAGGGAATCCCGAGCTCTCTGTGACCGTCCTTGGCCTTGTACACCAAAAACGGAGCATTTTTAAAAGCAGAAGGGGCTCTGTTGYGGGCGGGAGGAAGAAACCTTTCCTGCTGGAGGCACAGCCTGCCCCGGAGGATGGATGGCGCTGGACCTTGTGAGACAGGGTGTGAAATACTTACAAAACAGATCATTTCAGTTTTGGCACCGAGCCGTGCCTGTGCCACTCGGGATGAGCGAGCCTTGCTCGGCTTTCCTGCGCGGAGCAGCGATTAAACGGCGCTGAGCTGTTCCTGTTTACGGGAATMCACTCAGAGCTCCTGCGGGAGCGCTGATCCCGATCCCAAATGCCATCCAGCGGGCTCTGACCCCTCCTGGGCACAGCATTYGTGCATCCCGGGTGGAACCGGGTGCGTGTGGGACATCCCGAGCATCCTGTARGGTCACAGCTCCCCGTACCCGCAACCCTCCCTCGGCGGGGAACAATTCCCAGTTCCCAGCGGGGTTTTGGGGAGCTCCCAGCCCCGGGCAGAGCTCCCAGCCTTTCCGAGGCAAATGAGCAATCAGCTGGCACCCGGCGCCGCTAATTGCGAGGGGAAATTCTGACACTCGGGCGAGTTCTTTCCACAGCGCAGAAAGGAAAATACGCACTTGGGGCTCCTGTTCCGTCTTGGCCTTCCTGCCGCCAAGCCAAGCTTTACAGAAACAGCTGAATATGATTTGTTTGTTGTTCTCCCGTGGATGAGTTTGTGCGTTCGGGATGGAGGGATCCGGGCACGGCTGGGGTGGAGGAGAGCGCCGAGCCCCGAGACGGGCGGGGTTCTGCTCTGTACAGCCCAAAATAGTGGGGTTTAGTCGGGGACAGGGGCAGGACAGGGCTCAGCTGAGCTGTCTGTGTGTCCTGGGGGTGGGCACGGCCACAGCTCGGACACTGTCCCCAATCACAGCTCGGACACTGTCCCTGGTCACAGCTCAGACACTGTCCCCAATCTCAGCTCGGACACTGTCCCCACTCACACCTCGGACACTGTCCCAAATCACAGCTCGGACACTGTCCTTGGTCACAGGTCGGACACTGTCCCTGGNAATCACAGCTCGGACACTGTCCTTGGTCACAGGTCGGACACTGTCCCTGGACACAGCTCGGACACTGTCCCCACTCACAGCTCGGACACTGTCCCCAAATCACAGCTCGGACACTGTCCCCACTCACACCTCGGACACTGTCCCAAATCACAGCTCGGACACTGTCCTTGGTCACAGCTCGGACACTGTCCTTGGTCACAGCTCGGACACTGTCCCCAATCACAGCTCGGACACTGTCCCCAATCATGGCTCGGACACTGTCCCAAATCACAGCTCGGACACTGTCCCCACTCACAGCTCGGACACTGTCCCCACTCACAGCTCGGACACTGTCCCTGGCCACAGCTCAGACACTGTCCCCAATCACAGCTCGGACACTGTCCTTGGTCACAGCTCGGACACTGTCCCCAATCACAGCTCGGACACTGTCCCAATCACAGCTCGGACACTGTCCCCACTCACAGCTCGGACACTGTCCCAATCACACCTCGGACACTGTCCCCAATCACAGCTCAGACACTGTCCCTGGCCACAGCTCGGACACTGTCCCTGGCCACAGCTCGGACACTGACCCCAATCACAGCTCGGACACTGTCCCCACTCACAGCTCGGACACTGTCCCCAATCACAGCTCGGACACTGACCCCAATCACAGCGCGGACACTGTCCCTGGACACAGCTCGGACACTGTCCCCAATCACAGCTCGGACACTGTCCCCACTCACAGCTCGGACACTGTCCCTGGTCACAGCTCGGACACTGTCCCCACTCACAGCTCGGACACTGTCCCCACTCACAGCTCGGACACTGTCCCCACTCACAGCTCGGACACTGTCCCCAATCACAGCTCGGACACTGTCCCCACTCACACCTCGGACACTGTCCCTGGTCACAGCTCGGACACTGTCCCTGGTCACAGCTCGGACACTGTCCCCACTCACAGCTCGGACACTGTCCCCAATCACAGCTCGGACACTGTCCCCACTCACAGCTCGGACACTGTCCCTGACCACAGCTCGGACACTGTCCCCANGGACACTGTCCCCACTCACAGCTCGGACACTGTCCCTGACCACAGCTCGGACACTGTCCCCACTCACAGCTCGGACACTGTCCCCACTCACAGTTCGGACACTGTCCCTGGCCATGGCTCGGACACTGTCCCCACTCACAGCTCGGACACTGTCCCAAATCACAGCTCGGACACTGTCCCCACTCACAGCTCAGACACTGTCCCCTATCACAGCTCGGACACTGTCCCTGACCACAGCTTGGACACTGTCCCCACTCACAGCTCGGACACTGTCCCTGACCACAGCTCGGACACTGTCCCCAATCACAGCTCGGACACTGTCCCCACTCACAGCTCGGTCACTGTCCTTGGTCACAGCTCGGACACTGTCCCCAATCACAGCTCTGACATTGTCCCCACTCACACCTCGGACACTGTCCCCATCTGGGAGGGTGTCAGGGACACTGATCAGGATTTTATCAGCCCCAGACTCTGATTCCAAGCCTGACTGTGGCTGAAAATAGCCCCGAGCAGAAAGCCCATCCTGTCTGATACACAAACTGGCCCACAAAGGCTGCAGCTCCTCACTCCTCTTCCTCTTCCACCCCGGAGCCAGTTCAGCTCGAAAATSTGAGAAATTTGTGGTTTTTTTACCTAGCCTTTGATCAGCAACCTAGCAAAAACATTGAAGACATTTCCTAAACAGGAAGGCTCAATGCTTCTTTGTTATTTCCCTCCTTTCCCAGCCCCTGCCTGGGACTCTGAAACAATAGAGCTCTACAGCTGTTCCAGCCCAAAAACTGGGGAGAATTGCCGTGCGATTCAGATCCTAAATTTAGCCTTGTTTAAATGCCGTTTTCARGAGTTGCTAATAATATCTTGGTTTAATTTATTCTCATTAAGTTAAGACACAAGAATTGAGCCCCTCCATCTCMAAGRTGTYGGGGCTYTGGGCAGTGCTGGAGTGGGAGGGGAGGGTCTGACACCCTTTGAAGGGCACAGAGGAGCCACCAAAACTCAAATGGGAATGCACAAACCTCCACCAGCGTGGCTGAGGCAGAGAATTGCTCAGTTTGGTCAGTTAAATGTCTGTTTTTCCTTAAAATTTTGCAGGAACACTTTTTAGCGAGGAAAGGGTCGGATTTATGGCGAGCGATATGTGAAAACAGAACCCACAGCGTGGAGTCCCCCTGCGAGATCAAACTCACCCCATCCAGCCTGGACAGGAACTGTTTGCTCCTCATCCTCAAAGGAGAGAAAGGTCAGTGCAGGWGGTGCCTGGTGTGGGCAGTGGGACAGGGATTGTGGGTGGGGAAGGGCTGTGGGACAGGTYCTGGCAGGGGAAACATCCCTGCAATTCTGCTGCATCCCTGGAGCCATGGAACTGCCCTGTGCACAGCCAGGCTCTTTGGTGTGCCCTGAGAGCTGCGGAGAGGGTAATTAATGCATGGAAAGTGTGTGTGTAAGGCGTGTAAGGTGTGGAATGTGTGGAATGTGTGTAATAAGGTGTGTAATATAAGGTGTGTAATGTGTGTAACGTGTGTAATGTGTGTAAGGTGTGTAATGTGTGTAATAAGGTGTGTAATGTGTGTAATGTGTGTAAGGTGTGTAAGGTGTGTAATGTGTGTAAGGTGTGTAATAAGGTGTATAATATAAGGTGTGTAATGTGTGTAAAGTGTGTAACATGTGTAATGTATGGAATGTGTGTGTAATGTGGGTAATGTGTTCAATGTGTGTAATGTGTGTAACATTTGTAATGTATGGAATGTGTGTGTAATGTGTTCAATGTGTGTAATGTGTGTAACATGTGTAAGGTGTGTAATGTGTGTAATGTGTGCAATGCATGTAATAAGGTGTGTAATGTGTGTAAAGTGTGTAATGCGTGTAAAGTGTGTAATGCGTGTAAGGTGTGTGCAAGGTGTGTGTAATGTGTGTAATGTGCTCAATGTGTGTAAGGTGTGTAACATGTGTAAGGTGTGTATGTGTGTAAGGTGTGTAATATAAGATGTGTAATATAAGGTGTGTAATGTGTGTAACGTGTGTAATGTGTGTAATGTATGTCATGTGTGTAATGTGTGTGAGTGTAATGTGTGTAATGTGTGCAATGTATGGAATGTGTGTGTAATGTGCTCAATATGTGTAAGGTGTGTAACATGTGTAAGGTGTGTAAGGTGTGTAAGGTGTGTAATGTGTGTAAGGTGTGTGTAAGGTGTGTAATGTGTGTAATGTGTGCAATGTATGGAATGTGTGTGTAATGTGCTCAATGTGTGTAAGGTGTGTAACATGTGTAAGGTGTGTAAGGTGTGTAACGTGTAAGGTGTGTAACATGTGTGTAAGGTGTGTAATGTGTGTAATGTGTGTGTGAGGTGTGTAATGTGTGTAATGCGTGTAAGGCGTGTAATGCATGTAATAAGGCGTGTAATGTATGTAAGGTGTGTAATGTGTGTAAGTGTAACTGTGTAATGCGTGTAATGTGTGTAAATGTGTGTGTGTAATGTATGTAATGTGTGTAATGTGCTCAATGTGTGTAATGAGAGTAAGGTATGTAATGTGTGTAATGCGTGTGTAACGTGTGTAACGTGTGTAATGTGTGTAATGTGTATGTAACATGTGTAATTTGTGTAATGTGCTCAATGTGTGTAATGTATGTGTAATTTGTGTAATATGTATAATTTGTTAATGTGCTCAACGCGCTCTCCTGCTCCTCACCTTGCAGATCCTGACAAACTCCTGCACACGCTCCAGAGTTCTCCCTTGGAAAAGGTAAATCCAAATCCCTKCAGCAAATTCAGCTGCAAAAGGCGGCTGCTCCATCCAGAGATGGGAGAGATGGCAATTTTACACCAGCTGAGGCTGGGGGAGATGCTCAGAGCTGGAGCTGCCTCTGGTTTGGAGGTTCCCGATGAGTGTAGAGATCACTGGGAGTGCCCAAAGCCAGGCTGGACGGGGTTTGGAGCCACCTGGGGCAGGGGGAGGTGTCCCTGCCCATACAGGGGTGATTTTTAAGGTCCTTTTCAACCCAAACCATTCTGGGGTTCTGCGGTTGGAGCCACCCAGCAGTGAGGCACCAGTACAGCCCACGGGGGCAGCAGTGCTGGAAATGGTTCTGTAAAACGCTGCAGCATTTCCTAGCAAAGGTTAGACCCCAGCAATAACTCTGAGGATGCAGTTGGCACTCTGCCCTTCACAGGAACAGGCTGGCATTGATGAATTCCTCCTGCCAGCGCTGCCCTGAGGCTCCCATCAGCTCTCGCTGCACACACAGGCAGATCCCAGCCATGCCCTAAACCCCGGGGTGTGCTCCAGAGGACAGAAATTCCCTGGAAAAAACGGGGAAGGAACGCGGCTGTGAGGACGTGAGGGCTGCCAGGGCCGGGGCAGAGCCGGGGCAGCGCGGCCGGCTTTGTTTGTGCGCKGTTTCCAACGAGGTGACGAGCAGCATTGTTCAAAGCCCGAGCAGCAGATGCAAACGTTTCCTGTTTGTCCCACTCCCGGCTCTTTTTAGTGCTTTTTTTTTATTATTATTTTTTTTATTTTTTCCCCGCAGTTTGGAATAGAATCCCTAAAAAAGGAGAGCGCAGGGAGCCGCCGGGAGTCATCACAGAAAACTCTGATCGCCCTGGTCACATCTGGGCTGCTGCTGGCGTTCCTGGGGCTGGCGGGATATTTCCTGATGAAGCGGCGCAGTTGGAGCCCCGCAGGACAGAGGCTGGTCAGTGCTTACAGGTGGCAAAATCCCGGGTAGAGCCCGGCCTGGCTGGTACAAATCCCCCTGGCAAAGGGGTTCTGGGGGGGAAAGAGCGTTCTCCACCCCCGTGGGTGTCCCCAGGTCGCGGCAAAGACAGGGGAAAGCTCTCCCACCYCCCAAAATGAGCCCACAGCTGGCTGCTCCTGCAGCAGAGCCGCCCCTTTCTCGCCGCTGCTGCAGGTCTGACACTCCTTWTTGCTCAGCAGCAAGAAGACCCCTCCAGAGGCACCGAAAACCTGTGAATTTGTCATTAAAAGCGACGCACTTTAACGTCCTTTCCTTGTCTGAGTGCCGTGTCTGTGTACCCCTGCTGCAATAAAGGCAATTTCTCCCCACGAGCCGTGGTAATAAAACAAATCAAGAAGGAAAAGAGGCAGAAATTTCCTATTTTCTCCTTTCCAGGCAGACTGACCCTGAGGGCTCCTCCCCACCAGTGACTTTTGGGGTTGTGATCCTGCACAAAGTGAGGCTGGGCCATGATTTTCCCCATCACTGTCCTGGGAAGTGTCCTGGGAAACCATCAGGGTATTTCAGAAAAGGAAAGGAAAGAAGGAAAGGAAAGGAAAGGAAAGGAAAGGAAAGGAAAGGAAAGGAAAGGAAAGGAAAGGAAAGGAAAGGAAAGGAAAGGAAAGGAAAGGAAA